TTTTTAAATGATAGCAAATGAAAATCAGTGGCCACCTCTCGGATTGGGTTGTTTAAGACTCGGAAGAAGACTGACAAGCAATGATAGCGAGCATAGCTATAAACATAGTGGATGGAGTGCACAAGGAGCCTTGTTCCTGTAGAAGGTTGCTGCCTCTTCAGTCAAGGGATTTCAGCTGTCCTCAAGTAGGGGGTTTGGTTGTCCTTGTTGATCTGGCTATGCGCGGCATCATTGGTGATGGGCTTCCCGAAGCGTTAGCGAGTTCAAGGGCTGCATCAAAGGGTCCATCAGGGCCGTGCTTGATGGTGGTGTCGGTGTCTGGGGAGGAGTCAGCTGTGCCCTCTGGGTCGGCTGATATGGATAATACCGGGGAGGAGGAGGATGAAGTGGAAACGGAGGGTAGTGTGACATAAGGTCGGATTAGACGGTCTGGAATCCACACAGGTGAGTCTGCATCCTGTGGAAATATAAAGCATCTCCTCTCCCCCAGGTTAAAAGTACATCAGGTCTCTTCCAGGCTCCTGTAAGTCCATTTGATGAAATAAGTGAGTTTCTGCTAAATGAAAGTTTCTTTTGCTTATTTACTCAGAGTCCTCGGACTTGGCTGAAAGACTAGCTTCCACTTCTTGCTTTTCTACCATCTGTTGGGCTTCGGTTGTTAACTTCTTCAGCTGACCCCATTTTGGCACCTCAGTTCCTTGCATAGCCTTTCTTTTCTTCTTTTTTCTGCTTTTCTGTCATCGGGGCAACTCTAAGTCTTTGGAATGATGGGACAAAGAGCTTCTCTGGGTCCATTGTGGTGACGCATGTAAAGCATTTACTCAATCCAAAGCAGGCATTAAAAAGAAAAACCCCAAATGTTCTCTTGTGTCCATTTTAAGTGGCGCTTTCCACTATTACCTGAGTCCTGATCTATCATCCCAGGGAGAGCTTGCCAATCCTGCACTTTCCCGGGGTGGAAAGGCTGCAGTGGGGTTAAGGATAAGGCTCCTTGGGCCTACCTTCTCCCATGCCTTTACATTTACCTTTCCTTCCTCAGAAAAGCATGGACATACTTCTTGTATAAAACGTTTTGTCTGACTGGGAGTAACCTTAATTCCTCTGCTAGCAAGCATATGTGTTACAAGATCAATACAGAGTCTTTTTTCTTTAGATTCAGTACGGCACATCTTCTTAATCTAAAAAAATCAATACAGAGTCTTCTTTCTTTGGACTCAGTATGGCACATCTTCTCAATCTAAGTTCTGTACTATCCACCTTCTTACCCTACTTATCCTCTATAGGGGGGTCTGTAGCACCCTGGTGGAGTCCTATGCATCCCGAGTGTGGGGTTCTCAAGGTGGGGGGGCGCTTACCTAGGGGAATCCTTTTCCAGGGGTTCCCAAAGGTGTGGACGGAGTCGGTGAAGGAGGAATGACACGGGGACAGCGTTCAGTTGATCAGCAGCCTAGCCAGGATCTCTAGCCAAGTTCTGGTCAGGATCTCCAGTGAAGTTCTGGTTTGGATCTCCAGCCAAGTTCTGTGTCCATGTTCTCTTGCTAGGTTCTCCAGCCAGGTTCTGTAGCCATGTTCCCTCGCTAGATTCTCCAGCCAGGTTCAGTCACCAGGTTCTAGTCAGGTTCTGTTGCCATGTTCTATCCAGATTCTGTAGCCAGGTTCTGTCTGTAGGTTCTGTCTCTAGATTCTGTCTCTAGGTCCTGTGTCTAGGTTCTGTCCAGGATCTTTTGCCATGCTCTCTCACTAGGTTCTGTCTCTAGGTTCTGTTGTCTTGGTTCTGTGTCCTGTTGTCTTGTTAAATCTGTATTTATACCAGTTGATTCCAATCCTATCAATCTCTATTCCAAAGGTTAGGGCATTTCTTATCTCCATTCCAGGGAGTAAAGATTATGTAGCTTAAGCATGATTGTTCATAGTTAAAGTGATTAATTATCCGCCTGGCACTTAGTTAAGGGGTTTTATTCCCTCCCTAACTTCAGGGGAAAATCCCTACCTGGGGAAACAACCTTTCTCGAGAGGTGACGTTGGTTAAAACACATAGTGCCAAGAAGGTGAGCAAACATTAAGAACAGTATGCCATATATGTCGGGTCCCTTGAAACAGCAAGGATGGACCGGCTCCCGGCAGGTATCTGAGAAGATAGTTTCTCTTAATGGAGGTTTTATTTCCCATGATTAGCTTGAGAAGAAGGAAGAGTCTGTTGAGAGTAAAAGGTCATCACTTCCTCACCAGTTCTCACTGCCACACTTCCTCAGTCATGTTGATGTTAAAATAAATTTTTTTTTGCTTATGAAACTCCTGTAAAAAATCCAAATATCATGGAATGTCACGTAGATGTTCCATTATCTCCAAAGGTAATTACTGTCAATTTTAAAATGACATTAGCAAAGGATGAAGCTAAGGAGAGGAGTCAGGTAGGGAGGGAAGGGAATAATAATACAAGATCAGGGTGTTTGGTCAGCAACTGGTATCTCAGTTTGATTCCCTAATGTTAGTTTGAGTGCTTGCTGTGGGCCAAGAATTGCCAGTCACTCTGGGGATGCAAAAGTGAGAAAGTACATATGCCATAAGAAGGGCAGGTATCATGCTATAGACCAGTGGTTCTCAACCTGTGGGCCGCGACCCCTTTGGCGGTTGAACGACCCTTTCACAGGGGTCGCCTAAGACCATCGGAAAACACATATATAATTACATATTGTTTTTGTGATTAATCACTATGCTTCAATTATGTTCAATTTGTAACAATGAAATTGGGGGTCACCACAACATGAGGAACTATATTAAAGGGTCGCGGCATTAGGAAGGTTGAGAACCACTGCTATAGACATTCAGAGTTTTGTTTCTAGCTGGGGAGGCAAAGCAAGAGTTGGAGTTGGCATTTGAAGTCTGAATAGATTCTGAATAAGAAATGCCAGGGGTGAAGGGCAATTTCAGGTAGTGAAAATTGTGAGCAATGCAGATTCAGAATGCAGTCTAGTTTTATGGAGCATGGAGCATTTGAAAGTAGGAGGTAATGAGAAATAAGTCAAAGGGCAAGCTCTGGGTCAGATCATGAGGAACCTTCAGTGCTAAGCTCACCAGGTTGGAGCTTATGCTTTAGACCAGCATATCTCAGTGTGAGTTACACACCGTCTGCATCAGGATCACCTAAGGTAGTTGTACACATGCAGGTTCCCTGTTCTTTATTACTGATCTGAATCCAAGCCTGTGCCAGGGGACTGGGAAACTGGCATTGGGAAGCCTTGCAAGTTTTTTGGGGCAGGAAGTGAGTGAGTGTGTTTTGTTTACCACTGTGAACTAGAGAACAGTGCCTGACATTTATGTTGACTGAATGAATGGATGAAAGAATTTTGTATAAAGGTGGTTTCAAGGGAGGTAGATCAGAGGCAAGAACACCAGTGGCAGTGGTTTTAAGATATTTTTATTTTATTGATTTTTTCTTTTTTTTTGAGAGAGAGAGAGAGAGAAAGAGAGAGAGAGAGAGAGATATTTAATTTTTTTCTTTTTTTTTAAATATATTTTTTATTGATTTAATACAGAGAAGAAGGGAGAGAGACAGAGAGCTAGAAACATCAATGAGAGAGAAACATCGATCAGCTGCCTCCTGCACATCTCCTACTGGGGGATGTGCCCGCAGCCCAGGTACATGCCCTTGACCGGAATCGAACCCGGGACCCTTCAGTCCGCAGGCCGACGCTCTATCCACTGAGCCAAACCCGTTTCGGCGAGAGAGAGATATTTAAAATTGACCCTGGTTAGAGAGAAAGAGAGAGAGAGATGAGAGAGATATATATATTTAAAATTGACCCTGGTTAGAGAAAATGAGAAGATACTGTGATAGACATTGTCTGCTTAACCAGACTACAGCAGGATTTATTCTGAAGATTAAATACTTTTAATATAGTACATTATTTGAGAGGTAGTATTTTGTTGTTGAGTAGAATAATTTTCCATTTTTTAAAGTGATGTAACACATTTTGCATTAGGTGTTGCTTGTGTTTGTGATCTGAGGGATTTCCTTTACACTAGAGGGGTGTTGCTTGCAGCAGTTGATGAGAAGCCATGATTGTTAGGTAGAGACCTATTTTAAGAAATCTATTTTAATATATGGCACCCATTTCATTTTGAAAACCAGAACCAATTTTTAAGAGCTACTAAAATGAAGTCTCTGGGGAAAAGATGATTATCCTCCTCTGTGTTCATTGTCTAAAATCTTTTTCTTACCTCAAATTTCTTTCAAGATGGCAGCATTCATTTACCATAGCTCATTATTTTTAGTGACTATTGGTATTAAGTCTTTACTAATTTCACAAATAGTGTAGAATACATTCTTATGGTAAAATATTTAATATAGAATAAAAATAAATTCTTTATTTTCCTGATCTCCACTGTCAGTTTAGGATGTTATCTTTCCAGTCCCCTGTCAAGGAATGTATGCATACATATTATACACATAACTTTTTGTTTTATACAATAGGATTCTTTTACTATGACTTTTCATACTAGTCAGTGATTTTTTTCCAAGTCACTTCATATGGGTATACCTCATTCTTTTTAATGATTGCATGTTCTTTATATAGTGTGGGTAAAATGTCTAAGTTATTTCATTATTCCTTACCTATTGGTGGGATTTTGGGCTTTAACAAAATATTTTTTAAAACTATTACAGATGGCTACAGTGAACATCCTTGTTTATGTTTGTGGACATAAGAAACGTTTCTGTAGGATAGGTTTATAGAAGTTGAATTGCTTTGTCTAAGAGTTTATGGACATATTCTAAGATTTTTATATATGCTGGCCATTTCCTTCCTAGAGACTTAAAGTGACTCCTTTAGGATTGAAGAATCTCTACCTCATTTGAAAAGGATTGCTGGGAGACTCTCTTTGTACCTTCATCATGTGCCAAGCTCTGTGCTGGGTGCTAGGTTAGAGGACAGAATCCTTGCATTCAACAAGTTCTCAACTTAGGGATACCACTTCTTGGTCTTACCACACCACTAGGACCTGTCATTCCACTCCATTACTAAGGATTTTTGCAACAGGGTCTTGGGCTGCTTTTTAGTATATATAACATGTTTTATGTAGATATTTTTATAATATTTATGATACTAATAACAAGCTTTCTGAGCTTTATATTGTATAAAGGTATGTATGAAGATGTTGTTTAGAGTAGCGATTTTCAACCTTTTTCATCTCATGACACATAAACTAATTACTCAAAATCTGCGGCACACCAAAAATATATTTTTTACTAATCTGACAGAAAAAAATAGGTATAATTTTGATTCATTTACACCTGATGGTTATTGTTGTCATTTTTTAATTTGACAGTCTGTAAGGGAAAAGAGGTCAGTGCCCCTGACTAAACAGTCAGGTAATGCATGTTTTAAAAATTCTTGTAACACATTTGTTGAAAATTGCTGGTTTAGAAATATATTGTAAAAAAGTCTGAGACATTTAAGGGCCTTTTTTTTTCTTTAATACAGGAATGGGTTGGACAGGTGGAAATAAGTGCCCTTTCTCTTATGTACAGGTAAGCACTAATAACATAATTCAACAAAAATAAAGTTAGTGGAAAATTAATATATTACATTATACTAAAATTGTTAAAATAGTGATTTTATTCTTGGTTGTGAAGCATCTTTTCTAAGTTTTTTTTATTGTATGAATTAGATTTTGACATTTAGATATATCATTGTTTAGAAATTTTAATTTTCAAGATATTTTTGGAAAGGAGTACAGAAAATTTTCCAAACCTCTAAACATTATCATTTATTAACCTTACAGAGAAATGATTTCCTACTTTCTCAAGGCCAGTAGAACTGAAGGGCCACTAGAACAGAGGCAAAACACCTCTGTCAGTTATCAATTTTACTACTATTGCCTAGTAGAGGAGCAGGTGAATGTTTTATATTTTCTTTTCAAAATGTCTTTGTACATTTCCTCTTCACAACTTCGAAGGTTTTGAGGTTTCCTTTAAGAATTATAAATGAAGTCACACATATACAAGCTATATTTGAAATTTTATTTTTTTGAAAAGATGCTTTTATATAGGTACTAGAGGCCCGGTGCACAAAAATTTGTGCACTGGGGGGGTGGGGGTGTCCCTCAGCCTGGCCTGTGCCCTCTTGCAGTCTGGGACCCCTCGAGGGATGACCACTTGCTGGCTTAGGCATGCTCCTCGGGGGATTGGGCCTAAGATAGCAATCAGACATCCCTCTGGCAGCCCAGCAGCCCTCGGGGGATGTCCACTTGCCAGCAGGGAGCAGACCTAAACTGCAGTAAGACATCCTTAGCGCTGCTGAGGAGGCAGGAGAGGCTCCCACCACCACCGCTGTACTGGCAGCCATCAGCCTGGCTTGTGGCTGAGCAGAGCTCCCCGCTGTGAGAGCACACTGACCACCAGAGGGCAGCTCCTGCATTGAGCGTCTGCCCCCTGGTGGTCAGTGTGTGTCATAGTGACCAGTCATTCCCAGTCTTTCTGC